GAGGCTCAAGTCCTTAGCTTGCACCAACTTAGCCACCAATACAGATGCTCTTAGAGCATTCACATTGGTCTGGTTAAGTTTTGGGTTAGGAAACCCGGGTTGGAGGTCCGGGTTTGCTAGCCTACTGTTTTGTTGAAATTTTGAGACTCAGGCACGTAAGAGGTGGAGGGCCAAAAATTGAGGATCTTATTTTTGGGAAAGGTTCACGGAAAAAGAGTGAAAGAACCGATAATTTTCATTCACTTGCAACTAGCTAGGATTAAATAGACTAGGTACAAGTGGTCAAAAAGTGGTTGAAAGAAAAATGAATAAAGAATGTTTTTTGAATAAAAACTGAGAGGAAGAAACATGAGTCTTGGAAGAAACAAACCGTACAAAACTTCTCAGTCTCTTTTAGTCAAGCCGGATGAGTTAATCAAGAAAAACATGCTATAAACCACAGATATTTAGAGTCGTTAATTCTAAATAATCAGTCTTTGATAAATCAATCATAAAGTCAGAAAAAAGAAGAATTCATTGTAGAGACATGAGTAGTTAGAAAAAGCTGATTTACTTAAGGTTCATATTTGACTCAGAAGGGGGCTTAGAATAACCAAAAACAAGCTACTTAACAAATATAATCTAGTCTGATTTATGATGACTTGAAAAAGAAATGAAGTGATTTTGGGGAAGAGTAGACCAGAGAAGAGGAAAAACTCAACACGCCCCCTCTACTCTGAACCAAAGAACAAAAGGATTGATTGAATTTGAGGCAGTAGTGGTGCCAGAAGAGTTGTTGAGGATGGTGGTGGAGATGGAGTGAAGGGGGATCGAAGCGAGGGAGCGATCAGAAGTTGAGATCAGAGGTGGGAGTGTAGATAGAGTAGCTATAGAATTGGAGGTGGAGGAGTGATCGATCGGTCCAAGTAGAGAAGCGGAGATTGTTTTTGTTGGATTTGAGAAAGCGGTAGCGAGGGGTTCGGAGCGAAGATGAGAAAGGCTGAAGCGATGGAAGATCGGAGTGAAAGAGGTAGCAAGGAGAGAATGGAGCGAGCTGAGATGAGGAGGATAGAACAAAGGAGAAGTCGGAGCAAAAAGGAGAGGATGAAGCGATGGAGGATCAGAGAGAAAGAGGTAGCGAGGAGAGAGTTGAGGCAGTAGATGAGAAAGGAGCGAGTAGAGGTCGGTCCGAAGCCAAGTTGAAGAGGTAACGAGAGTTAATTGGAGGAGAAGGATGTAGCGAGAAGTAGAGGATGTAGCGAGTGGAAATCGGAGTGAGGATGAGTTGAAGAGCGAGCGAGGGTTTCGGAGCGAAGTGGAGATGAAAAACGGTGGTAGCGAGCGGGTCGGAGCGAAGAGAATCAGAGAGGCATTCAGACTGAAGCAAGATGAGTGATTGAGACGTGAAGACAGTTGTAGCTGATGTCGTCAGTAATCATGCGAGTACCATTGGGATCAGAGATGGCAAGGTGATTGATCGATTCAATTAGAATTCACGAGTTTTGTTATGATGAGACTAGTTGATGTGATCGTTTGGCACTAGAAGCGAGATTGGATGTTGATAGAGAGGTACAGCAGTGCTTTCAACAATGCTGAAGCAATAGCTAGATCACAAGGAGTTGTTGATGATGGAGGTGTAATTGGAGGGATCGAGATCAATTTAAAAAGATGAAGGAAAGGAGAGCCAACGAGTGAGGAGATTGTCCTGAGTCAAGGGTTGAAGCAAAATTGATAAAAGCTCAATGCTAGTGGTAAGGGAATAACATGAACCATAGCAATCAAGAAAGAGGGCAGTTGAACACAAGAAAAATTTAAGCAATAGCTACTACCCGGCAGACTTGTTAGCTACCAACGTTCGCTTGAAGAAGGAGAAAAAAGGGTACTAGAGAAAAGCGGTTAGCAAGTCATTTCGACTGTTAATCGTGTTGAAATTTTGAGACTCAGGCACGTAAGAGGTGGAGGGCCAAAAATTGAGGATCTTATTTTTGGGAAAGGTTCACGGAAAAAGAGTGAAAGAACCGATAATTTTCAATCACTTGCAACTAGCTAGGATTAAATAGACTAGGTACAAGTGGTCAAAAAGTGGTTGAAAGAAAAATGAATAAAGAATGTTTTTTGAATAAAAACTGAGAGGAAGAAACATGAGTCTTGGAAGAAACAAACCGTACAAAACTTCTCAGTCTCTTTTAGTCAAGCCGGATGAGTTAATCAAGAAAAACATGCTATAAACCACAGATATTTAGAGTCGTTAATTCTAAATAATCAGTCTTTGATAAATCAATCATAAAGTCAGAAAAAAGAAGAATTCATTGTAGAGACATGAGTAGTTAGAAAAAGCTGATTTACTTAAGGTTCATATTTGACTCAGAAGGGGGCTTAGAATAACCAAAAACAAGCTACTTAACAAATATAATCTAGTCTGATTTATGATGACTTGAAAAAGAAATGAAGTGATTTTGGGGAAGAGTAGACCAGAGAAGAGGAAAAACTCAACATGTTTTCAAACGCATCCGTCCAGGTTAACAAACCCCTGGAGGACAACTCCCCGCAAAATTGCTAAATTTCAGGTTAGTGATTGCTAAATTGAGCAACTGCAAACTTGAAATCAAATTTTTGGTTAACTAACCTGTTGTTAAGTTTGAATCAATGCAAGTTTGCCAACAGGCTTGATCAGGTTAACTTGCCTTAACCTGGCAATTCAACCCAGCCAATGTGAAAGCTCTTAAGCAATTGTGAAACCCCCCTTTAACCGCTACCTTGATTCCATCCCAACTACATTTAAATTTCAGCTCATCACCTTTACACCCACTTTGATTATTCACTGCTGTCTATCCTTGCAAAGTCTGCACAACCTGCAATATGCCCTGCAACTTGAAATGTAAGGCATCAATCTGAGAGCTTCAGTTCATCCCTGACACTGGGGTTGCACCGTTGCAAGGTCACAAATTATTCAACAAGTACCAACAAACAATCTCTAGTTTATGATTATATTGAGCAAATTACCTTGCACCTGATGAAAAAACCATCAAAAATCTGTGTATCCCCAGAAAAGTTACCCTTATGTTATCCAAATCATGGAGATTGTGTAACATAACCCTGTCTTGCCCAGAATTTCTGGAAACGCAACAACCAAAAAAGGGCCCTTTTGCTTCAGTAAATATCATAACTGAAATGATATCTGTAAATTGCAGTTAACGTAACTGTAAAGGTTAATTGGCAGCTGATATTATCTATTTGGGTAATATACTTGCCCACTTCTGCTCTCAAGGGCCAAGAAACAGTCCTCTTTATGTCTCCCAAATTTTGGGAGTTGTTCTTCCAACTTTTGGGAGTTCATGTTCTTCCAACTTTTGGGAGTTGTTCTTTCAACTTTTGGGAGTTTTTATTCCAACTTTTGGGAATTTTTCTCCCAAAATTTTGGGAATTGGCTTGGCTTCAAGTGTAAAACAATATCTCAAAATTAATGTATTAGGGGATAACAAATATTACCAAATCCATCATTATTGAATGAGTTGGTTAAAAAACTCCCCTTTTTTAGTTGATGACTCCCAACAACTGTCCACAGACTTCTGTTGAGAGTTGTTCTTCCAAATGGATGGCTGGCATTGGGAGTCAGCTATCTATTTTTTGTCAATTTTTCTGGTCAGCAAGGTTGTTATACCTCATTGACTGGAAGGGGTTCCTTCCAGTCAGTGAGGTACAGTGGGTAGACAGTGAAAAGTGGCTGCTTATTTTGGATTCTAGAGCTCTGAAACACAGACTTGAAGTCATGAGACTTGGTCAGGTGGTGCATAATAGGTCCCAAAAAATGAATAAGAAAAAATAAAAACAAAAAATAAAGTTTCAAAATTTGTGAAAAATAAAAAATAAAATTGATTTTTTCCAAAAGCTTTGATATTCATTTTGGGGGAATTGGAGTGCTGAGAGAAAGGAAGATAGGCATATTAGAAGAATGATCATGAATGAAAATTTTGGAAAAATTGGTTTCCAGATGGCTTCAAACAGCTGTTGAGTGGGGCATTCACCAGCCCACATTGCATCAAAGCACTAGAATTTACTGTTTTGGCTCCAATCTGGACAACCAACCTGGCCACCTTTTTTGGTTCCAATTTCTTTCATTTATAATCATTCTTCCCATGTTCCATTCTTTCTTTTTCTCAGCACTTCCACTCCCCCAAAATGAATATTAAAGCTTTTGAGAAAATCAATTTTATTTTTTATTTTTCACAAATTTTGAAACTTTATTTTTTGCTTTTATTATTTCATATTCATTTTTTGGGACCTATTATGCACCACCTGAGCAAGTCTCATGATTTCAAATTTGTGTTTTAGAGCTCTGGAATCCAAAATAAGCAGCCGCTTTTCACTGTCTAGGCACTGTACAAAGACTTCACTGACTGGAGGGAAATCCTTCTGGTTGATGAGGTTGTAATACCTTATTGACTGCAAGGGTTCCTTCTGGCCAATCAAGTGGGGAGTGACAACTCCCAACCCCCCCCCCCCCCCCCCCATAGAGAAAAGGGGGGGTGCCCCCCCCCCCACAAAAGGAAAAAAAAGGATGGCCAACATCCAATGTTGGCCATCCATCTGGAGGAACAACTCCCAACAGACTCCCCCCCCCCCACTTTTGGAGTGGAGACACCAGACAAGTGGGGGGTGTACCACCACCCCCTTTATAATGATAAATTTTGGGCAAAACCACCTTTTCTGTAAGAGAGTGATATAAAAAACCCCACTTGGGGTCCAATGATGCAAAAAATTCATTTTTTTTTTTGGAAAAGTGACTGGCTTCTAGCGGTGGATTTCTCATGTTTGATACCACTTAATATGAAGCTATGCTAACATGTCCCAAAGAATCTTATACCATTGAATACCAGAAAAAATTTGCTCACCTGCTATGTCACCAAGAAACATGGTGATCATGAACAACAATATCTGGAGCTTCTGTTGTGCCTCTGCCCTTTTCTCCCACTTACTTGCCATCAAGTTCATGTCCATCACCTTCTCTAATTTTTTTTTTTTTTCAAAAAATTGAGCCACCAGGTTTGATCACCAACATTGTTTGATTTTGTTTTAGGAAATGCTGGAAACTGTGAGGACTTCATTTTTTGCTATTGATTTTGACGATGATTTAAAACAAAAGTCTTCCTCCTTCACATCCAAATCCAACCATATATACATGTATTATTGACTTGAAATCTTCAAAGATTCTCATAAACAAAGAAAACCAAAAGATTCATCAAGTGAAAGACAAACCTAGAGGGAGACAGAATGATCAAAGTTTCCGTGAAGGGATCACTCGTTCGAATGCATTCTTCCAATCCTGATCGACCAAATAATTCACCAGAATCTCAAACACCTAAACATCCCCCGCCCCCCCCAAAAAAAGAACATTTTCAAAACTGAAGTTGATCTCTCAACTTGACAAAAAAAAACACAGAGAAAGTGGACGGACTTGATTGACGGTTAAGACTTTGCGAGTCTTGAGCTGAGAGAAGTGTTCAGCGATCGGCAGTTGGGCGTGTTGGAAAGCCTGATTAGTGGCCAGATCCAAACAGAGATTCTGTATAAATCCCGACCAGCCAAAACAAAAAGTTGGTCAATTGCACGATATCAAACATCTTTCAAGATGAGTATATATAGATAAGACTGAACTTTATGACGATTATGGTCGACGATGGAGCCGATCACATAGACCTTATCAGGCTCGATTGTGGTGAGGATGTTCGACGAATCGGCGGAGAGATAGATGACGTTTTGCGGGTCGATGAGAAGCGCCTCAGGGCGCGTCCGGTCGAGTTTCTGGTCTCCTTCCGGCTTGATATCTTCGACTAGTTCCTGATGGGTTAGATCTGATATGCGTTGTTCTTCCACTTGCTCAGTTTTCGGGGCCTGGTCTTCTTTTGAAAGGTCCTGATCGGCTGCTAGAGCGTCTGGGGCAGATTGGGCATCGAGCGGCCGGAGCGACTCTTCTTCACCCTCCTTGCTTGTCTTTCTTTCTTCTTCTTTGGGACTTGGTTTTAGGAGATCATCGTCGGTTGAAGGCCGAGTTCCTGCTGGATCCGCCGCTCGTTCTGAGTCGGCCTTGGAAAAAGCCAGGTCTTCGATCGATTGGTCGGTGAACTGGACCGACTTCCATCGCAAGTATTGGTTCCCATTCTGTTGGAATCTTGTCCTCAATCTCCCATCTACATACACATAACAAATATTTCGATCAAGTTGGCTTTTTTCTTTTCTTGTGTTTCTGGGAGCAGCTTGATGAGAATTAATAGATTGAGCTTAACTGAATGAGGTACAAACTAAGCTTTTGAATTGGACGTTCGCTTTTCGATTGATCGAGTATGAGTGAGCGATCTGTCGATCTAAAGAGACGATTTCCTTGATAAAAAAAAATCAGTTCCAGTGCTTGGATTACTTTTTTTTAGAGAAAAATAGATGTATGACTGAACTTTATCGGACATCTTATCGTCGAACCTACAATCGAAGACGACGGTCGCAGGGAAGATAATCGGTTTCTGTTTATTAGAATTCCCCCCATCTTCTTGCTGTTTAGGAGTAGTCGAATTTTTTGATTCAAGTTTTTTGGCTTTCTTTCGTGCTCGTTCTGCAGCTCGTTTGGCGGGTCTTTCGTCGAGTATGAGTTGTCTCTTCAGTTGTCGTTTGAGTTGTTTCTTGGATAGTTGATTACTGTTGTTATCTTCCTCTTGTTTGATCCTGGTAGTACTCGTTCCTTTCAGTGGTTCTTCGATCTCTTGGCTTGATGATGTTGGACTGTTCATCTTTCGGAGTGTTTGGTGCAAAAAGAGAAAGCAATTTAGAGTTTGCGGGTGAGTTGGAGTTATGTAGGATTAAACTGGTTTCTGACTTGGATTAAACTGGTTTTTGCCCCTGTTGACCACTTGGGCCAGTTCATCAACTGAACAGCAAACCAAGCAACTACCACGACAAGAACCAACTCAAAAACCATCAAGAATGCAAAACAACAGCAACCACTCGATTGGAAACGGAATACCATCCCCAAAACCGATCACAGTCAACAACGAAACTGAAAATAATACAAACAAAAACTACGACCAACTACTACCAGGAGAGGGCAACCTATGGAGCTCAATCTTGGATAGCGTATCAAACAATCGAGAGAAGAGCAACCTACCCAACAAGAAACTCATTGTACTTGGTCAGTAGTAGTCAGCAAAAAAAGCTAAATTTGGAAAGAAAAGTAACTTACTGGCATAAAATGGTGTATTACAGGCGAAAGAAATGCTGGAAAATCTACTGTCGTTTCCTATCTCTCAGCCACAAACCCAGTCCCCACAGATCCGAATTCAAACAATAATAATAACAATGGGCCATCTGTCGTGCCTACTCCGGTCCAAGCGATCGATGGAGAGGATGTAGACATGGGCACCAGTTACACGACCGTCGAAATCGGCGATGATGGTGATGATGGTCAGTCATCACCTTCCTTCCTTCTAAAACTATTCTTTTTTTTGCTTTTCTTTTCGTTTAATTGATTTTAAATTAAGATTCTTGTTTATCTAGATCCTCTCGTCCGGCTCTCTCTTCATCAAATTCCTTCCGCACTTCCGCCTTATTCTAACCTACTTCCACTGATCCTAAATGCTGATTCATTACGAGAAGTAAGTGTTAATCTTCTTTTCTTAGATATCAAGTATTAAAATTCACCAAAAAAAGGGCCTAATCCACCACCAACAACTCTAAAAACGCGCTGGCTAACCAAAAGATCTTCATTTCATTTTAGTCATTGATTCTAGTCTTGATTCCATTCACTCATCCTCATTCATTACTCACATCACTCGTGCGATGGTTGGTACTAATCCGATCGGTGATCAAGTCGATAAAGGATACGATCAAGCCAGCCGAAGGGGGTCAACCAGCCTTACGAGGAGAATACATAATCGAAGAGTCAAAAGAGGCCTTAGAGTACCAATACCGATCGTATGTCGAAGCGCTGGGACAGTCGAGCTCAACGACGACGACCACAGCAGGCGAGACTTTGGGCGAAGCAGGGAACACGAACATCCATCTGGACTTACCCTTACCCCCGGGGACCTTGACGGAGAACATGGGGATCGGGATCGTGGTGGTCTGTACAAAAGCCGATGAGATCGATGAGCTGGAGAAGGAGAAAGACTTCAAGGAGGAACAGTTCGACTTCATCCAACAGGTCCTCCGATCCATCTGTCTGCGCTTCGGCGGTGCACTCTTCTTCACCAGTCAGAAGAAACCACAAAGCTTGCTCAGATTACGGTCCTATGTTCTCCATCGTCTCTTCGGACAACTGGTTTCCTCAAGCTCAACTCTCCAAGGAGCCACCTCTTCGACCACAGCCACTACTACCGGCACAGTCACGACTAATGCCCGTCTGTTCCCGTTCCCGTATAAGGCTAATGTCGTCGATCGTGATGAGGTCCTGATCCCAATGGGTTGGGATAGTTGGGGAAAAATTAAAATCTTGAGGGATGGCTTCGATCCCTCTGTCGTCGGTAATGGTTGGCTACTCGACCTCGAAAAACCATCGAGATCTCTCAGCAGCAATAACGGTGCTCGTCCGCTGGACTCTCTAGATACTTCTTCTTCTGTCGTCGATGATGATCATGTAGAGTATGATTCTCAAGGGCGGAAAATTGTTAGTGCTTGTAAATTGTGGGAAGATATGATTGGCGAAACTGATGATGAAGTACCGGTAAGAGTTTATTCTTTTCTTCATCAACTTCCCCCCCCCCCACCAAAAAAAGGCAAGAAAATCCTTCTTCCACAAAACCTGAGCAACACTAATTTTTTTTGCCTCCGTGCATCTGTTTGGTGATGATGATAATAGTTAATCAACCCGCACGATCGAGTGATAGCGACCCAAGAACAAGAGTTTTTGAGGACGAAGTACGAAGTGATTAAGAAAGAGAAAGATCTCGATCCACGCTCGCATTTCCAATTGAACAATAAAGGACATTCAGCGCAACAGCATCAACATCAAGCCGTCAAATTCACCAATGGGACCTCGATTCTTTCGGTGGAGAAAAGTCTCCTGAATAGTGGTGCTGGATCGTCTGCGTCGATCGAGCCTCCTGGCAGTCTTAGTTCATTAAACGCAGAAGAGGAAATTAATGCTCAGCTGAATAAGCTGGCTCTTCGGGTTCGTCTTCCTCCCTCCGTTACATCTAGTCGTTCCTTTTAGAGTGATTTTCACTCAATTGTGATTTTTATTTCGATAATGTGAATTTCTTTTTGTTGTTGGTGGTGATGGCTTTAGGATCAACAAGGAAACCCGAATGGACGGAGTTCGAATCCCAGTTTATCGCCCGTCGAGATCCTACATCTCCAACAACAACAGCAGCAACAGCAACTGGGACAAGGACACCAGACGCCCCGGATGGGCTCCTCGAGCGGGTCGATGGCCGGCACTCAATCCAAAGGACTTTCCACGACGACGACAGCCACGTCGCCATTAGCTTCTCGATCATCCAGCCAAGCACAGCTCCTCCTCGGTCTCAATCCTTCCTCCTCCTCTTCTTCATCGACCTCTTCTTCTTCGTCGACTATTCCCGCCGGCTCGATCGGCACGCCCGGTGGCAGTAATACGAGCCAAGGCGAAAAGGCTATGTTGGCTAACTTCTTTGGCAAACTCTTGGATAAAGATCCTGTCGGAGCACGCAGCTTTTCGTCTTCTAACTCTAATTCTAATCCGTTCTCGAGTACGACTGTCAATGGTTCTGGGCCGCAGTCTCAATCGCTTTCTTCGACTTCGATTAGTTCATTGAGTTCTGGCACCTTCAAGGCGCCCCTTTCGAATCCTAATCCTTTGTCTTCTTCTTCCTCCTCCTCTTCTGCTGCTTCGTTTGCACCGCTTTCTCCGCTTCCTGATGGCCATCATCATTCTTCTTTGGGCTCTAGAAGAACTAGTAATAGTAATCTTAAAGATCATTGATTCTTTTTTTTCTTTTGCTTACTCTTTCTTTCTCTCTTGCTTCGGCTGGTTGTTTTTTTGTTTTTGTTTTTGGCTTGTCTTTGGTTTTGTTTTGGTGGTGAACCTTAATCATCTTCATCCTGGTTGGTTATCTTTTTTTTTTTTTCAAAACAAAAAAACAAATGCTTCCATATAAATATATTTATATTCAATTTTTATGGGTTCTTTATTTTTGGTTTCAATATTCATAGAGAGAGAGTAGATTACATACATGAATATATAGGTCTGTATGTATGTAAGTCATTATTAACTGCTTTCTTAATTCTTTTTCTTTTTTACAAGCGTTAGTTTTATCGTTTTTTTTTTTTTCGAGAAAAAGAAAAAGAAAAGAAAACATATAATGACTGTGAATGTATATACATGCATTTATTGATGTGTGTGTGTGTGTTGAATCGTAACAAGTTAGTTTGGGGTCCAAAGCAAGAGATTACAACACTCAAGTTTGATGCAATCCTGATCAGAGGACAGATCTTCAGCAACACGTATTGAGGTAGAACTTGAGCTATGTAGCTGGACTTTCTTGTGTGTAGATCAAGGATTGTTAACAGTACTGGTCAATCAAACACATTGCCCTTGGTTCTCTTAAGTCTCTCTTGTGTGTTGTGGATCCATGCTTTCTCTGGCTCTGATTGACGTTGCACTTGCCTTCTGGAGGCGGTTGGTCAACCAGAATACGATTTGGTTGGGTTTGTTTTTCATATCTTTGAAAAGTGCTACTTTTTTTTCGGATCGAATGAAGCAATGCGAAATCCAAGTTGATTGTTAGGAAGCTGCAGGGTCAAAATTTCAAGCCAACTCGCCTTGCAGGGACCCATACCCATAGCCAGCGAGAGCCCCGCCTTGGCGGTAACGAGATTTTTGTGACTCTTTGCCGGGCAGTGATCAGCGAAGCTGGTTTGCGTGAAATGAGACCTCATGGCACTGGCTCATGTGAAGCCCGTGAGCTCGTTGAAAAGCCCAAGTAAAGCTCACTTCACAAGCTTGGGCATAGCGAGAACAAGGGGTGGAGTGAATTCGTGTCCTATGCTTCGCAATTGGAAGCAGCATCCATAGTTTGCCGCATGTTCGTCTGCACATGCCAAGGTGCCACTCCAGGAAGGCCTTGGTACCACCAAGTCGCGTTTAACGGTAGTAGCAATATCCGCCAAGCTCATGGTTCATTACAAGCGTGTTTACTGGAGATACTTCCTTTGCTCCTCTCTCAATCTTTCAGCTCACTCTTCTATATAAAAGGGGGCAGAGTATGGTGGTATGTTGTTTGATCATCCGCTCAATCCATCCTGTAAATCTTACCCATCTTATCAGTTGCAACCCTGCTTAGTATCAGTAAAGCATTTATCTTCACCCTTATATAGTCTAAGATTTTTTATCGTATATAGTATTATTTGTGTCCTTCCATCGCAAGCCTCCTCGACAACAACCAATGGCATTCTCCCACCAATTGATTTCGCTGCTCGTCTGCTTGGCCGGATATCAGACTGTGATCGCACACCCCTGGAACGTTGGAGTCGGTCAGCCTCAAGAAGATCAGCCCAGGGTGGGCTTCAGAGACTCTCTTGCCAAGAAATCTAAGCTGTCTGCGTCTTGTCAACTCGCAGCTGCTGGATTGTTGGCTAGTGAATTCGGAACTTGCGCCAACATTCTTGAACTGGTTTCTATCTTCGATGCCAAAGAATCTCTTATATCTCCAATGAATGTGGGTTTTCTGTTTATCTCAGGTGCTCTACTTCTAACTTGACTGATCAATTCATTGTGTTTGCTTTCCTGCCTTTTAGAGTTGGATCACTGGTGCATGTTCAGCTACTCCTTGCAAACAGGAAGGGCTAGCTGCTGCTAGTCACATGATTCGAACGGGTTGCGAAAGCGATTTGAAAGAAGGATCCATCGCCGCTGTAGCTATATACTCGGTGATCACACACTACAATGCGACTAGGTAAGCAATACATGCACTCGAAGAACAAGGAGAAGAAACTCTCAAGACTCATAAGCAAACTGAGGAAATCCTTGCTAATGCTTGCTTTTCTCTCTCTCTCTCTCTCTCTCGTGCCGTCTTTCAGGGAAATGTTCTGCACTCAATACAAGGAAAATTTGAACTACTGTCTTCCATCAGTCTTAGGAAATGTCGAGGATCAAAGCGGGGAAAACATTACTACTGATGAAGTGATGTCGTTGATCGCTGGAAAATTTACCGTGGCAGACCAGTCTTTCATCTCTGTCCCAAAGGTCAGCCAACTTCCGTCTCACACAAATGTGGCGATCAGAGTCAATCGGATCACTGACCAAACGCAAAAAAACAAATTTCTAGGAGACATATTGTAACGCTTGTGGACAAGCAATCGTCAGTCGATCAGCCATGATGATTGATGCCATTCGCCAAGACCCTGTTGGGATCGAATTCAATTATACCGCGGGCCACACCGTCCATCGAATCAGCGATATCTGCGGCGCCTCCTTCGAGAATCAGGAGCTGCCTGACACCGTTCAGGTTGCCCTTCCTCAACCTCAATAAACAAACCACTTGCTTTTCATCATATCCCAAACGAAATTCACTCATCATATTCAGAAAGATTCAAGCACCCCACCAATCAATTATGAACAATTTATTTATGAAAATTTCGAAATGATCTTGATGGTCTTCCTCTAGTTTTTGTTGTTGTATCATTGTGTATATTTGAGAATTTTTCTATGTATTCTATTTAACATCTTATGTGCATGTTCATAGACTCTTCTTCATGATTTTGAAAGGAGACTAGACAGGAAGATTTGCTCTTTCACTATAAGTTACATTGTAAAGCTTTCTATTTACAGCTTTCAAGGTAACACTTGAGAGAGAGCCAATTCAATTCCCTCCATCCCCAAGAATGACACACATTTTATCCATGCATTTTTGCATGTTTATGCCACTTGTTCTGTCAAAAATTGGCTTCATTCAGTTATATCTTCATAATTCAGATGTGTCCTATTATTATCTCAATGAGCAGAGTAGTGTTGAAATATTGGATGAGTAAATGTTGAATCATTGGATCATCAGTCATTCTCTTGTTGCGCTTCTCAGACTACTCTGGGCAACATTTGTTGGAGAATAGAATGTGTCTGACTTGAGGTAAGAGGACAAAAATTCCATGTGAAAATACACTCTAATAATTTTATAAGGAAGATGGAAACTCCTCTTCAGGGTGATAATCTTTGTAGGTCTAAAAAGATGAAAAATCAGCCCTGAACAACACAGAATTGAAGCTATTGTTTCCACACAAATAGATATTTTTTGTGTGATGATTATTGAAAATTGAAAAGAAAGGACTGGTATTTCAGACCAATTTTGAGGATGAGTCTCTAGAGCCTTAAAGCTCATACTTTCTATCCCTCCCTTACAGACTTCCAAAGTTCAAAAACCAGTTCTGAAAATACTTGAAGAGATGCATGTCTCGACAAATGTGCTGATACGTGTTTATGTGCAATGACACAAAATTGATGGTTTTACTCCTCCTCCAACAAAGAAAAACTAGCAGAAAGGTCTGTTCTTTCTTAAGACCAAAATCAAAAGGATGAACCTCTCAAAACTAAGGGCCTGTACTGTATGGCATGCACATTCAATATTTCATGATTCTGTAGAATTTGTCTTCCTCAAATTCACATATGATCAAAAGTGACCTTCACCAAAGGTCATTTATAAGCCCAAAAATGAAGAATTTCAACACCAGATCTCTTCCCTTGTTTTCAATTTTTGTGTAAAAGACAGAAAATATGACTGTTTTTTGAAATTCAATCCTAAATACGGCACAGGCCCTAAGCTTAAGGGGCATCAAAAAATTTCACTGGATTCTCTTTTTCATATTAATTGATTGGTTTCTTTGTTTTAAATCCACATTTGAATTTAGCAGGATATTACTTGAGGCCTGCAAGTCCTTGGAGTTATCAAAGAATGAGTTCTTCACTGAAAGATTAGCCCAGTTGGTTCTAGTCTACATACATAATTGGAGGAACTAACTAACTGTTTGGTATGTAAATTGATTTTTTTTGATCTGGATTATTATACTTTCTGCTTCTCCCCTGGTCCTGTGGAACCGGGGAGCTCCGCAGGGTCTCTGTCTCACAGATTAGGTTGTATATGTTTCACAAGAGGGGCGTTTTGCACTTGCCAGGTTGCACACCAAGCCTGGCGGAGAGAGGGAAGGTTCAAATATGTAGAAAGCAAAGAAATCAGTTCCGTCATCGGGGCTTCGCCACGCACCGACAGTGATCTTGGAGCGCTTGCCTGCTATGTAGACGGTCAAGGAGGTGCTCATCACCCTGGCCATGGGGAGATTCAACGCCGTGTAAGCGCGTTATCTTTTCTGCTTGTACAGAAACACAGCTTTCGAGATGTTCGTCGGGCGTCAGGGAGGAAAAAAAGGTGACCGTCGCGCCGTCGCGATCAACCATGTGTCAGCCACAATTGGGAGCTTTGGTGTGACGTTGTGGTCATTGGTAGCCTGGGCTGACCCCAGGGAAGCGAAGCTGCTATCATGGGCTCTTATGTCACTCTGATAACTCGCGGTGCCGGAGTTCGTCACAGTTATTTATGTGCCAAATCGTAAGGCGCTCTGGCGTTTTGGGGGTCCAGACTATATCGCGAGGCTCAGTCTCAAGGGCGCTCGATCTGACCATATACAGGTTTACAGCACCACTAGGGTTGTACTTTGGTACATCATGCTCTGGGACTACGGCGACAAAGCTTGGAGTGTCCCCCCGCCCGCTGTGAGCTTGCGGTCTCTGCCAGAAACGTACGAACAACAACCCGGGTGGTTTGTCAACTTGCCTGACATACCGGTCCCGCTGCCACCCGGACGCACCCGTGATCCGGTGTCGGGCATAGCAAGCCCGACAATTGATTGGCCGACTACATAGTCAGTTTGTGACTGCGGACAATCAAGTGAGCTCAAGTGATCGTGATCACCCGTGGCAGACACTACACCCTACCCTAAGCGCAGACACGAAACGCGCATGCGAAGGTGCCTAGAGTACAGCACTCGCACCAACACACATACCATCCAGGATCTCCAGACAATCCTGAACCTCCAACCGTCCACCCCCTTGAAAAATCCCTAAGTCCTGCAAGTCTCATCCGACATACCCCCCCCCCCCTGTTTGAACCCGTACATCCCGACATCCGCGGTGCCGACATTACAGCCCGACCTCACATCACACCTCCACCTCGCCCCGACCCGGCTCATATCACAACCCAATAACACAGGTGAATATACATACGAAACAATCAACATCACCACCCAACCAAGTATACACGTACTCCTCATCACATCAACTTTTCGAATACTTCGTCAAACGACTAGGGATTGCAAACTCGCGCTACTCGTCGAACAGGATCACAAACTCGCGCTACTCGCTGAACAGGATCGCACTCTAGCTACTCGCCAACCTTCTTCGGCTCGCAAACTATTACTACTCGACAGACATCTTGGGATCACAAACTAGCGCTTCAATTTTGCTTTGCTTGGATACATTCCCTTGCTTCCGGTCAGTCTTGAATGTGTTCACTACACTCTCAGCTTAGTATATGTATGCTTACTTGCCTGTTCGGACTAATCCTCGCAAGATATCAAATGGCCGTAAAGGTATACAAGGACCGTGTTTCTGGAACGCTTGCGCAACGACTACGGAGGATCCAAAATGCCGAGAGAATAGCTGCCACACGTGCCAGATTCCTAGGTCAACAATCAGCTCGACGTCAACGTGAAGAGCAACAACAGCATCAAGATCAACAGACTGCCAACGATCATATGATGGACAATCCATACGAGCCCAATTACGGAGACAATTTGGGCAGTAACGAGCACCCAAGCGCAGACCTGCTGGACGACGATTGGATTACTTTAGATGAGACCAATGACGACGACTTGGATCGAGCAATTGAAGCTGACAAAGAGCGGTGGCGACAAGAAGCTCAGCAATTCAACTGGACTAGTATCATCGAACAACTCCACGCGGTGTACATGGATCTGAAAGATCGTACAAATAATTGGGCTGGCCAAAATGCTTACTCCACATTTCTGAACTGTCGCTGTCTTCCACACACTATGAATAGCCGCTTGGTGGACATGGTGGATATAACCCGTGAGTTGACTCAATCTTTGAATGCCTCTGAAGATATTTAGGCTTGTTGATCACCCCTAAATGCCTGCCAGGCCAGCATCGAATCAATTTCCGTTTTTGCCCTTGCACCAGTGATGCTGTTCGTCTCCTCCAACATGGCTTCCTACCAGCGTCCCCCATCAGACCTCAAACTGCATTTTCTCTCCCCCTCCTCATATTTCACAATCACCTATGGAATAACTGCCATGTTGGCGCTCTTCCTTTCACGACTGCCCTGACCGAGTGGCTGGAACCCCGGTCTGGAAGATTGTTTGCACGTAAACAGAAACATGTGAGTATCAACATATCTGACTGATCATGTCATCAACTTGTAAGCCTAACCAGCCACAATTTTTTCTTTGACTAGGCTCGTGAGATGCGCAAGCCTTTCTCTGCTGCTGTTGATCTCTACCGCTCTTTGGAAAATAAGTCAACCGAGCTTGTCTTCAAGGTTTTGCAGTTTGAACCGCATGATATCCTTGCAACTGAGAGTTGTCCGGCATGTTTTGGACCTCGTCCCCCCAATGCGCAAGATTACCCTGATTCCACTCGAGACAAACTCATTGTGTGTCTTGATGGCAACTTCCAACATCGACACCATGCCAATGCAAGCCACGATTACCGCCCTCTACAAACTCCACGAATTTTCCTGAAAGCTGATGAGTTTGAGGATATGAAACTTGCCATAAGGAACAAAGAGATTGAGCTGAGCCCCCCTACCAAGGTAAATTTTGCATTATTGTTCTTTATTTCTAGACTTCTGGACTCATTTACTAAAAGACTCTTCAACTCATCCAAATTTGGTTATCATCAGGCCGATCGATGTGCTGATTCTCACAAGGCAGCTGATGACAAACGCAACGAGGCAACTTGGAAAGGATGTGATGACACAGGCCTCATGGGATGCTGCTGTCGTCATGATTCAGCTATATACATGGGTAATATCTTCAAATCAGGCGAGCAACGGTGTCTACCCATCGCCATCATTAAACGGCTTCTATCCGAGTGTGGCGAGGAACGGAACATTGGAATCCTATACGACATAGGATGCTCTCTTGACAAATACATGAGTGGAGTCAGTCAAATCCCACATAACATCTCATGATTCCACATCAAGTTGTGTTAATATTGTTTGTTCTGCTTTTGTTTCAGCGAAACCTGCTCCAAGAACATCGACATCGCATCAAGTTTGCCACTTCAGTCTTTCACGCATACGTTCACAACTGGGTTTGTCAGCTAGATTATCACCCCCGTCTCAACATTGGCTGGGGCCTCTCAGATGGTGAAGGACTTGAACGGCTTTGGTCGTACTTGTCACCATTGGTTAGCCCTTTGCGCTATGCAACAAGAAACCATCGACTGGGCTCTATTGCCCATCGTTTGAAACATCACAACACCAAGGGCATTAGGAATTTACGTAAGTCTTTTTTTCGTCTTTGTAAATCAGCTTTTATATAGTGTATGTGCTAACATCCCTCATTCTACAGCTTATTGGCTCCAAAGGAAGTATCAGGCAGCCTTAAAGCGTCGTTCTGAAGCTCGATCAGTTATTTCAGGCCTACTCGAGATGCCCAACCCACACTCAACCACGACGACAAACTACACCCAGGAATTTTTCATACAACAATGGAAGGCTCAGCACGAATTTCAGGCTAATCACACAGAGGCTGAGGAAGAACGTCGCATAAAGTTGGTCTCGTTATACAAACAAGAGGCTGTTGTGGAATTATTAAGGTTGTTTTGACTTTCATGGCCTAAGTCCTGGATAACTTAGCTGATCAACTTTGGTGATCAGGAAGCGTCTGCGTGGCCCGGAAATATTTTTAGCTACTGAAGAGGAGGTGAACGATCTCCTGAAAGACATTGCGGAGCATTCAGATAAATTGCGAAAGGAGCTAGATGAACTGACTGGCGAACATAACATGGGTGGTGTAGAGAGTGGTATGTGTCCCATGGCCTGATCTTACTTGTGAGGTGATCTGACTGACTGTTTCAATTGGAGCAGATGATGAGTCAAAATTACTCTTACTTCTTTGGAGTGCAAAAGCAGACCTGTTTGTCCAGGCAGTACAGATCCGAGCCGAAAAACGTCCAATTGATGACTCAAAAACAATCGGAACCCACTTAGGTACAAAACTCAAAGAGAAGATATATAAAGCCCTAAACGAACGACGACCTGCAGTTAAGAAGTATATCGATGCCTTCAACCGATGCTATGCAAACTATGTAGCAAAGTTTCCCAATCAGAAATTAAGTGATGCTGCCGACTATCCACTCACCTACGACGATTTTATCACATTTGACATGGACCATCGATTTTGGAATGATGGATTATACTATCATTGCAAAGCTCCTTGGGCTGTTGATTGTGATGTTCGTGCAGGTATCACTGCAACATTATCACTTAGCCGAGTCCAAGAGGAATTCCAGCTTTTGGCTCAAGAACTGTGTCAGAGTATTGGATGGGGAGTGTCTTACTACAATCGACTGTCAAACTCAGTGGCTTACCTTGCAGGGCGTGAGTATAGGTGTTTCTCATACCAGGTCATTGTTACTAATATCTTATATATGTCAGGCATTTCTCAATTGGATCTTCGACAGGAGACTGGTGCAGGCGAGCTTGCCCCTGATCACGTGGACCAATTAACGTTGGGGAACTTTTCTCCAAAACACAAGTACATCGTCCTCAAGAGAGATATTAGGCAACGCTTGGTGGCTCACGGTGCGATGATGGAGGAGTGGTCAGATAAGATTATATGGCTATGGGAACGTTGCCAGCCCCTGTCAAATCGGGGCTACATCTCTGACTGGGAGAAGATGATTGTCAACATCCAAGCTGGGAACCCAATTGGAGCGGAAACATCAGCGGGAGTAGAAGAAGAAATGGAGGAAACAGTGCTTGCAGTTGAGCTTGACGATGGTGAAGATGCAACAGACGGGGACCTCATGTCAGCAACAGAAACAGGATGAGACCAATTCTCTTCTATTTATATTTTATTTTGACTGTTCTATTTTGTGGTGAACTCACTATTGTATTTGTACAATCATGATGAAACATACATCAACTGGTCTAAATTATTCCTATTCTCCTACTTGCTGCTTTCCTACTTGCATCTGGGCCCTTGTTCATATCTATTTCAGATTCTTTGCACTCCACTCTATAACCCAGTTTTCTCATTTGATTCTATCCTGCCCCTTACTCCTCTTTCTTCTTTACAAGTTGTTGCCAATATTGGGTTTCAATTAAATTTGCATTCTTCACAAAATTCTGCACATTTGCAGATTGTAGGAGCCTAGGAGTGGAAGGCGATCAAGAGAGATAGTCAGGTATTTGGGACCACTGGAGGTGTGGTCAATTTAGGTATTGGGAAAATTAATCTTTATTAGGTACACAAAAATAGAAATCCCAAACATAAAAATGAAAACCCTCAATTTATTAGGCACATTTTTTTGGTCTTACTCCAATATCTGTCGTGGATTTTCGCACAGGAGTGTGTCAAGAGAGAGAAGAGAGCCCTCAAAGGGTTTTTCGTTTTAGATTGAGAAAAAGATCCCCCAGTTTTTGAAAATGATGTGCTGGGCAGGAGCGGTGCATATGTTTCTATCTCCCTCCCATCTGTCTCTCGCATGTTGTGCGGGAGATGTCAGAGAGAGAGAGATGGCTCCACAGGTGGTTCTGGTTAGATTGACAAAGAAGATCCCAAGTTTTTGAATGAGTGAGCTGGAAATGACTAGTGCTTGAGGCAATGTGTATGATTCATGCTAAACCTCCCACATCCAGTTTCCCACATCCAGTGGACACATGTTTTAGGTGGGAGCTTTCAGTGGCAGAAGGGCAGTCCCAAATCTTGTAACATTTTTTCTGATTCATGTCACATAATTAGTTCATCCTTTGGAGCCATCCTTCTCCCTCTGACACTTCCCACCTACAACATGTGTCCACTGGATGTGGAGGATTTAGCACCTCAAGCACTGGTCATTTCCAGCTCACTCATTCACAAACTTGGGATCTTTTTGGTCAATATAACCAGAACAACCTATGGAGCCATCTTTCTCCCTCTGACACTTCCTGCCCAACATGCAAGAGACATATGGCAGCAAGACCAAAAAATATGGACCACTTCTGCCACTGACATCATTCAAAATCTTGGGATCTTTTTTCTCAATCTAACCAGAACAACCTTTGGAGCCATCCTTCTCCCTCTGACACTTCCCATCTACAAATATCATGTGTTAATCCACAACAGGCAGTTACTTCACTTCAATGTCTATTTTCAGCTTTCCAAACTCCTTCTGGGAAATTTGATTGAAGTGACATACTATGTTTCATGGTTAAATTAGAATTCACATTGAGATTTTGAGACAACTTTATGACTATTAGCTAGCTAGCTTTTTTGAACAGATTTTATACTACAAATTGGCTCAATTTCTCCAACTGAGATCTAAACTAATGATAGATGTAAAAAACCATTGGACGTGTTAATGAGTCTTAATTAGCAGAATGAAAATTTTCTGAATGATTAAAATTAAATGAAAAATATTCTGTTGAATTTATACCGTTTTTTCACTCTTAACAGAGAATTCATTGATAACCTGGGCATTCCACAAACCCCCTGTCTCTGTCTCCCACTCAGGTTTTTTATCTGATCTATCCTGGCCAAATAATTCACAGAATACTACCAAATCAATGTGCTTTCTGAGCTTTGTGACCTCATTTTTCAAAAACTAAAAATTTGGTTAAGTTATCTACATATATGTAATTCCCCAAATTACCTTTTGTCCTATTGAGCCCACCATTCCTCCACTTATAGGTCATCAGCATCAGGATCTAGCTGGCATTCCTTCTTTGGGAATGTCTCTGGCAAATTAACTATTGCATTGGCATGGAACATTTGTGGATCAGCTTTCCATTCCCATTTTCAATATGCAATTGCACATCTCATGCATTCATTGTGGGGACTGGGCGGTTCAAGATTCCTTCAGTCCTTTTCAAGTTGTTTCCCGTGGGTAAATTCATCTCACTGCTGGCATCTTTCATCGCTCTCATCTTTCATTGCTCTCATCTTTCATCGCTCTCACACTGCAGGACACATACCTACCTATCGCCACCGGATTGATCCTTTCTTTACCTTTCTGAGGTGGTCATAACCCTGGAAGAACTCCTGTTGGAATTTACTCGGCGAAGATGTCATATCAAACTTCAGGCTCACATCAATATCCTAGCGGTGTAACTCAAGGCGCGATATCCTACTCTGCAAATCAACAGACGGTCATATATCAAACCCAGACTGCAGACCACAGGTGAGTTCATTAACAATTTTTGATCCAAGTGGATCATTCCAACAAACCAAGAACCTTTTCCTGACCCATTTGCTCCTTTTCCAATCTTGAATCCTCATTGAAACCAGCCTGCCATTTCAAGATCAACAGAGCTTCA